CTGTACTGATATTATAGATACAAGTCCAAGATTGTCCACTGAAGAACTAAATTTAGTCATAAAGGCAAGCAGAAAGGATTTGTCATAGTATGTTATGTTATCGGGTTGTGTTTTGTACCTCTAAATTTAATATATAAAAGTAACGTGTCTTTTTTTCAAATTACTATTTTTTTTAACTTTGACTGTAAGATGTTCAGCTATTTTACTGAATGAAAACTAGAATTTATTTTTCTCTCACTTTCTTATCGAAGATTGAACTCAAGACCCTAACCTCTAAACCACTGAGCTGGAATTCAGTAGTCTACAAGTCTAACTTCGATTAATCCACGATGTTAAACGACCAACTTTGATTGTCTTCAATGAAAAGCAGCTTCATATCCTATACATTTGAACTCCTTTGATCATAACAATCACAATAGAAAATACGAGAAGGTCACGTAATATCGTGGATTGTTAAAAATTATACATATACACCATTGAATTCCAGTTCATTGGTTTAAAGATTGAGAATTCACGTTCAAAACTGAAGGTCTTTTGTTCGATCTTTTATGATTAGGTTATGGATCTATACTGTTGAGAGATCCTCCGCATAAACCAAATAGATATTCTGTTCTCCCTGATTTTTGATATATATTTAATCTAAGTCGGTTAGTTATATTAATAATGTTCAATTATCTCCACATACCTCTATAACAATAAAGTCATTTGTCAGTATTCTATAATAACAAACAATCAAAACATTTACGTTCCATTTTATCACAACTTATTTATTCCTTCAGGCTAAATAAAAAAATAAACGAGGTAGTACTTCATGAAGTAATTTATTCATTTAACCAATTATTTATCAATTAAATAAATATGTCTGTTAATGCACAGTATAATAATAGAAAAATAACTGGGGAAATTACTATTTACACCTTTCATTCACAAATTAGTTAGATTACAATCTTCGTAAAATAAAAAGAAGACAAATAAGTTAAACCCATACATTCCCATAACAACAGTTTTTTATATATTTTTTTATAAAAAAACATTTAGTGAATATTTATTGGTAACTTAATAAATCTCATTTAGTAAAGTTTCATTTAAATCAACAGTTGGCGCGTCATCATCATAATAATCCAAATTTTTTTATTTCAACATTTGCTATTTCGTAAAGTTAACTTCATTATTTAAGTTATACATTTTTAGTTAGTTTTCTTTTTGTTTTGTTATTACTATGGTCAGTTAAATGTTGTTATTGTTGTTTTTTTTCTTTTTCTGTGAAACATGTGACTCAATTCGGTATGCTAGAAAAAAACTTTTTTCGTTTTTTCTTAGTTTGTTTAAAATGAATTACAAGAGTATCAATATTGTTTAAACTTTATTATATGACATTTTTATAACATAAAACTTCTTTTTTTCTTTCAGTAAAGTATAATAAATAACTTTGAAAAGTACATAAATAATTAGTTTATAGTAGTAAGTTAAGTTAATCATATATAGCCTTTTTTCATATTGAATGAAATATAACTTGAAATTACTAAGGTGTTTTTATAGTCAAATATGAATATTTAACTGAAATCAATAATTGTATCTATGTATCTATCTATCTATTCATTCATCTTGTTACTTTGAAAAATAAAATTTTCTTTTTACACGCAATTAAATGAATCATGAAAGAAATTTTTTTTTTCAAAAAAAAGAAGAATGAACACTATAATACTTAATATCTTGACGTCATTTCGTTTGTTTTTCCCTATTTTTTTCTTCTTTTAAGTAATGATATTTGGTGCAAATGAAAAAAAGGAAACTGTAACATTGTTAATAAATATTTCTATTATTACATCATTATTGTAATATTATATTACTATTCTTTATTATATATTGAACATTTAAATGAAAAAGAGTATGTTTTAAACTAGAACTGAGTGTCATTTTGACAAATTAAAGATTTAGCGATATGATGACATAAATAGAATAATAGATTACTTATATCTACCGTGAAAAAAATGCCAGCAATACAATAATATGTTACTTAGTTAAATTATAAAGAATAATTCATTTGATAGATTAAGATACACTTACTAGATTGTCATTAACAGTGAAGTATATGGTAGGTTTTTTATTCTATTCTTTATTTGTATGTATTTAAATTACAATGTTGACCTTCATCGTAAGGTGTAAACTTAGTGTTTATCTCTTCAAACCCATGCGCTTAGTTTCTTGAATGAATGAATTGAGATAAACTACAAATTATAAACATTAAAAAAAATGATATAATGATCACTATTGTCTAGTATAAAAATAGGTTTTTTGTAGGTCTAGTGAAACGTTATGTCCAGCTAAGTTCAATTACACCAAGGGTGAGATAGGTATTCTCAAAGACGTTAGGTGATCATTGAGCTATGACAAAAAACGACTGAAGTTGGATTTTTTCTGTTTACTGCACCCCGATTTAATGACTTGTTGATATTGTGCTCATCGCTATACCCAAACATTTTGTGTTCTTTTGTATGTTTGACTAGGAATGTCCGGACTAAGATGAAACAACTGTACTATGCTTCTTAGTTATAACTGGTTTATCTTCTAGTGTCAGTGAAGGAAGAAAACTAACTACACGTATAAGTACACTTAAGTCAGGGGCAGTTAAGATGTCTTGAGAATATGTGTTTTCGAGTCCAAAAATTTTAACTAACACAGTTAAGTTGAATATTAATCCTTTCTTAAAAAACCTTATATTCCATCTTGTTGGTACTATATTGTTTTGCTCTTTCCATGATATATTATAGCTACTGACTCAAATTGTGTTCACACTCCTTCTTATATGATCTTAATCAATGATATAAACTTCTTTAAACTTGCTGACAGTAGTAGCCTTTACTTATTTGGATTATTATTAGTCCCCACGGCCAACAATCTAGAAATATTAACTATGTGCCCACTAGGGAATAACTTCAAGTTAAATTCTCAAATGTATAGTCGAAATAATTATGGTTCAACAGTTGAAGTCGCTTTATGGTTAGATTTATCTCAAAATTAAAAAAACAACTTAATTTTTAAGTTCATGATGATCTAGGGTATTCTAAAAACTTAAAGAATGAAAGTAGGTGTGTCCTTATCACAAATGTAATTGTCTTTATATAAAAAATCATAGTTCTGTAAGATTTTAAATAACCTGATTGCCAATGCTATTGTTCACGTCTAGTGTTATTAATGCAACTATTAGAATTTATGGTAGAATTTATATTAATGTCAGGTATTTGGAAGGAATTGCCAAAAAGCGGCTGACCTATGTTTCATGTCAGTTGGTACTTATATTGCCAAGGTAACAAGCTTGAAAGTTTATGTGATCACCTTTGATAATCTCCATGATATGTTTCAGACAATCAACTATATTTAAAAGCTATAAGAGTTTTCTTTCACTGCTTCAATATTTTTAAAATCGATTGTAGGGAGATTTTAAATAAAATAATCTGTACATATTTTGTTCAATAAATATGTACTAACGCTGGATTTTTGAATATTCTAAGAAATCTCATAAGATGTTTGACAAGGTGTAGAGAACTGTTGTACTTTTGTTTTTCTCTAGTAAGTTGGACACTGAGTAAAGTGTGAACAAATAACGAATTAGGGACAAAGTACATCCCATGAGTTCATAAAAAATATTTAAGTAACTTTATTTAAGAGTTTAAATAAGTTCCTTTTAACTTAATAAACCTTGTCCTTGGTTTCTCAACAAGTTTACATATCGAACCGAATTCTATAATTGTTTAATCACGATGTTGAAATAAGTAAATTTTAATTCACTTTTTTAAATTGTTTGTTTGAATAGGACGAAACGCGCATCTCAGATTCCACTGTTAGCCACTATCTATCTAGATGATAAGCGAATTTGTTTAATTATTTTTAGGATAGCAAACGAAAAATTTGGGATTTTCATCAAATGTATAATAAATAATAAATTTTAATTAAAACTTAACATTCCTTCAAAATCAATCCATATAAAGTTGATAGCTTGAATAATCTCTACAATCCCTATACTGACAGTTAACATGTGCTCACTAGTGGCTAGCTTCGTGAGGGAATTCTCGGAGTTCTAGTGAGAAGTCGTGACCAATAGAGATAATCCGTGTCGGATAGAGACAGGTATCTACCTTAGTACAATAGAAGGTAGTCACGCAATTTCGTGGGTTGGTTGCCGGCTCAGTGATCCAGTAGGTTAAGCGTTCGCGCGCGAGACTGAAGACCCTGGGTTCGAATTCCGCTGGTGGGATCATGGATTTGCACTGTTGAGGAGTCCCACAATAGGATGAAACGGCCGTCCAGTGCTCCCAGGTTTCCAACGGTGGGCTAGCATCAATTAGTTTATGGTCTCGATTGAAAAAAGTATCACATAGTTAATTAATGTGTTCCAATTTAGATTTATATATTTTCTTAATTTAAAAACGGTTTACACCAGGAATTGACTTTGGTCCGAAAATAATTGAAAATCAAAGGGTAGTAAATAGTTATTTTGTCTAAATATTAGATTTATCAATATTGTGTACACATAACGTTATCAACGATCAACTTTCTCCGTAATCATACCGTCGAACTCAATTACATTATACTTTCGATTTAACTTAATTCATTAAAATTGTTGATACTTTTCTTGTGTCCAACCTGGTTTAACTCAACCTGTCGTAGCAACTCACTGGAATCAGAGGACTTTATCTCGAAATTAGTCACTACTCAGTACATGATTATTACCCAAATAGGTTTGTAGAAAATGCTCAGTTTGAAAATAGTTTACACCCTAGATTGTTTCCTTACTATTATTATATTACGCTATCTCATGATCATTTGGAAATAGCTTGTTTCGATGGTAATTGTATTGACATTCTTTCAATACATTAATGGAATTATCTATCTAGGTTTTATATACATGATGTAAATTTTTATTAACCACTTAATTTCAAAATATATTCATTATGTATCATTTGATTTATCATTTTTTTCATTTTTTTCCTTGATATTAGTTTGTTGGTGGTATGGATATACCAAGACCACAGAATCGTCTTGAAATCGTATCTTCAATGCGAAGAATTCGGGTAAGTCATGAAAAACTTTTGTTCTTATCCTATTTGGTTAAATGCACATACTACATTAGTTAATATTAGTAGTAATCAATTAAATGTCTCCTTTCTGGCTTTTTATTATGTATATTTCTTATTATTTCGATATTCATAATAGTAATGTGAATGATAATTTATCCAAAAAGATTATTTAGAAACACGTTAGGGATGTTATTTTCATGACTGGTTATTTAAATAATAGACGGCCGTCTAGTGCTTCCAGGTTTTCCTTGGTGGTCTAGCTTCAATTGACTACTGATCTCAACTACAATTTCCATAAAACCCCTTCTGATTTAAATAATTGTCATTGTATTGGTGAATAGATTATAGATACATATACTTAGAAGAAACTCAAGTTTTCTTTCATATTGATGTCAGTTTTGGTGAGAAAAAACGTTGAGACTTTTGAAATTTCAAGTTAAGTATCAAGGTTCCTATCACTAATAATGTCACAGTTCGATACTTTTGATAAATTTCAGACTAGAACAAAACACTGATTCAGTGCTTTTTATACAGTTTTGTTACTTGAGTTTGATGGTTTGGTTGTGGGGCTTTCATCTTTCGTCCGAACAAAATCATCAGCGCAAACTTCATGTAGAAGTGAAGTGTTCGAATTTCTCCATATGTGGTTCACAGCTTGTCCTGTACACCTCGATGATGGTTGGTTCTTGTTGACCTTAAACCTCTCATTATTTACTTCTTTGTCTTGCCTGAATCTCTCATTGGTTTGATTTTTGATCAATGCTTTTCTGTTTTTAATGGCTGTTTAACCAAAATCAAATCGTTACATAGAACATCTTCAAGCTGATTACTCTTTGCATACTTCTCGTCTTAATTAAATTTATTGTAAGATATTTTTTTATAATATTGGATCACACATGTGATTGAAGGAAAAAAAACATTCTTAGCAATAAATTCTTACTAGGTTCTACAGTTAAAAGTATTAATTTATTAATCGAAAGAATTAATCCAAATATGAATTAGTAAAATGAACTGGCTAACATTTATTGAAATTCATTGAATTGGCTTATATGTAATTCATACGTGAATCAGGTTACCAACCACAAAATTGCATAATTAACATCTGTAATGGATATGGTGTATAACTGCTGAAAATGTTGTTATGCTTAATTACATATTACGCGATAGATGTAATGATATAGATTAAGCGAAATATTAGCAGAAATGTAGTGAGTGTTGAGTAAATTACTTGCTTGCGCGTGTTAGGAATTCAGTTGTATTAAAGAAGTTCGAATTGTAAAAATACATTAACAAAGTGATCATACACAATAGGTAAGGTGAGTCATATTAAAATTAATACTGATGACAGTAGTAAAGGTTCGACATTTGTCTAACAGATAATATGTCCCGGTCTTTCTAGAAACTTAATAACTATTAATTTTGGGATACAGAGGATTCGGAGCCCAATGTCTTTAGACTTATAATATGGTAAGTTACGGAACTAAATTATTTGTTTCAGTTTCAACTAAACGGATTATCTCTTACTTAGTCAATGACATTTTTAGGTATTACGTAATATCATATATAACTTTTGATATGATTATGATCTAAATTATATATATAGGCTTAGCAGTGACATATGGTATATCTACCGACATAATCAATCTCTGTATGAGATTGTAGCGATGAAATCTATTTTAAAATTACATGCAGAAATCAAGTCATTTGTTTTACTTGTAAATCAAAGTTCATATTTTGTAATTTCCCAGAACAATATTTACTCCTTTTGTTATTTATTTAAACTCATTATTGTTACATATGATTATCTATAAGTATTCCTATAATCAAGTAATCGATAAACAAGTGAACTTATTACTAATTTAAGCATATGTGTTGTACCTTCTATTTTTGAGATTATAGAATTTCAGTTATTGAATCAGTCAAGAGTAACGTATTGATTAGCATAATTATTTCGCTTGCCAATCCATTGAAACATACAACAGTAGACACCAATAAATGATTAAATTCTACAAAATTTAAGACAACTTGACACCGATGTATTAAAATCAAAACTTCCAAAGAATAAGAAACTTTATGAAATGTAGACGGTAGAGATCATATGGTCAGTATTGAAATGAAGTCATTACAAAACAACTGAATTATCTATTATTATTATTCGAAAAATGAATTAATGACCAAACACTTTAAACAAAAAGTCATCAAAAAACACAAAGTTAGTGACTAACAGGAGCAGTCAATCCTATGCACTATTATAACACACAAATATTACCAGAAATTTAACATAAAAATAATCCCAATAGTTGAGATCAAGAGTTAACTGAAACTAAACCACTGTGAAAAACCTAGAAGCACTGGACGGCCGTTTCATCCTATCGTGAGACTCTTCAACAATGCTCACCCACGACCCCGCCTTACGAAATTCGAATCCGGTTTCTTGCGCAAACGCTTAACCCCTAAACCACTGAGCTGGCATCCAAAAGCGTTAAGGTCTAATTTCAACTAATCCACGAAATTGAGTGACACATTCACCGTTGTCATCAGTGAGTTACTATCTCACAACAGACCCGGTCGAACTCTATAATTACAATTCTTTTAAATCCTAATTGATTATTAAACTACGAGTCTGTTGATAATTAAGTAATTAATAAGTTAAATTATCGTCCATTACATGAATTCGTCAAATAATTTTAAATGATAATACATTATATTGGTAATGTTTAGGTTGAATAAAGAACATTGATAGATGTGACCAGTAACTAAATTAGTCAAAACATCGGTAATAATATCATCACCTCTTAATTTGATTGATTGAAATGGAATCACAATTATCAATCGATTTAAATGTAATAAACACTTTTAAAACAGTCATAATTAATTACTATAGATTTGAGTTGTAAAATATCTGAAAAGTGATGTCATATCACTAGTACATAAATCCTTTTTAAAGATTTCCACAAAATTAGTTTTTTTTAAATGAATAGACGTAACAAATCTATGGAACAAACAGATGATTTTCTTGTCAACTGATATATAACATTTAAGGATGACATTTTCATTTAGACTCTGTAAATGATATGATGGAAAGAAAAGTCAATTTTCAAATGATTTACTCATTATATTTTATTCATCATTACATCCATTTTGATTTAATGTAATGGTTACGCAATGTAGTATTTGTTTTCTTTCTCGTACGACATTTTATCCTGTATAACATACGATATTCTTGTATTCCATTGATCTGAACTATGCTCAGTATATGATTTGTTATAACTCTGAGTATTTTTCATGTATGTGATTTCTTCCTAATTATTAATCAAAATGGGTGTACAACCAATATATAAATGAGTGTATTTTCTACTAGATCATTATCATCATCATCATCGTCGTCATAGTGTTTTGGGGCAATTAAATCTTTACTTATACAAGTCTTTGTGTTCTTACTTTCTCTTCGTGGGAATTGCAGAGGTCCTTTGTTCCGAGTACAAGTGATCAGCATTTTTCCGGCGCAGCAATTAGCGACGACCAGACATAACAGTAAATGATTTGTTTTCCATCTTGAATATAATGTTTATGTTGGATGCTGGCTCAGTGGTCTAGAGATTAAGCGTTCGCGTGCAAGACCGAAGACCCTGTATTCAAGATCCCGCGAGCGGGATTTTGGATGAGTACTGTTAAGGAGTCCCACAATAGGACAAAACGGCCGCCTAATGCTTCCAGATTTTTTATGGTGGTTTAACATCAATCAATTCATGATCTCAATCAAAAACTTAATAATCTTCACAACCCCTATATTGATATTCAAAATGTTATGATTTCACCTGTAATCAATAAATTTAGCTGTAGCCATTTAAACTTAATGACTAGTTAGCTTATCATTTCAACAGATGAATATAATGTTTTCTTTTTTAAACGATTGTTGTATGCCTTAAATTGCTCTTAACTTAGAAGTTGTGTCATATACTAGTTTTGTCAATATAGGCTGACTTTTTTAACCAAACGTTTACGTACATACATGTGAATATGATAAATTGACGATAATGTTAAACTGTTATTAAAGAAGGGTTTATGAAAGATTATATTTCATTTGTGAGTAGTATTTTAAAAACACCAACTGTATAGTCTTTAAGATAGACTTACAATAGTTCTCTTTCAATTATCATTTATATGTGATGAGTAAAAACTATTAAAATCTGAGGGTATTTACTCTTCATCTGAATCTAAGCAATAAAACTAATAGTTTATTCAAGGATTTTGTATGGGCAATGATTTCAACTCTGTAAAAATTGAAAAAATTGATGGTATTATTTATAATTGTTTATATGATAAATACAATTCATAGACAAAAGCAGAAATTTCACCTAAATTCATTACAAACAAAACACTATAGATTGTAGTATTATGACATAAAGTCAATAATAACGTGATTTACTAAACGAAACATGGTCAGCTTTAGGCACCTTATTTATAATGGAGGTAAATTCAATGAAATTATGTTAAACACTAAAAAAACATGGTTTTTCAGACAATAAACCATTCAGGCATTACTATTTTAAAAAGAGTTCGAGAAATATACTACAATAAAAATAATCGAGGTAGACGTTTTAAATTAAGTTAACAGACTCAAGAATTCAAAGCTCAAAACTTCCGTTAGTAAGTGAGACGATTTACACCTAAGGTAATGTGTGACTGTTACATAATATAATGAGTCGGCTGGAGATATAATTGTAGACATGTTGATCTAGTGATTAATCTGAAAGTAATATGCTTACCGTGAGGCTGATTACAATCTTTATACTATGACAAAATAGTTACTAAGTCCTTTCTAGATTTGAATAGTTTTCTAGCTGAAGTTAAACCATTATATGTAATATTTTTACAAGGAAAAATATGCACATGGTGTCTCGGCTAGTTAAAATTAATCAAAATACACAAGTAAGATATGAAACAAGTGCATTTTATTATTTTTTTGTATTTTCGGAATGTTTACATAACAT